TTCATCAGAGTAAAACATCTCAACAACGAACTATCTCCCATAATGACAAGACTACCATCCATTGGAGTAAGACATCTCAACAATGAACTATCTTCTATAATGACGAATGATGAGGTATATCCAATAGGATCTCATCAAATCACATTAAATATGTCAAGAGATATACAACAGTAGTGCCTACTGTACATAGTCAAGGATGTCATGACATTTATCTTCGATATCTTGCTGAAACACATAACCGTCAAACTGCTGTGACAGTTGATGAAGATGTTACAACATCTTGATAACATCAGTATAGAACCATTTTTTTTAACAAAATTTAGACAATAATAAAACCATGGAACTAACAGATATACAATAATTTTTTACGATATTTGGGTGTGCACTACTACAAATAACGCATATAACGTTGGATGTGAAATGCGTTTTACCTCGGCATCTGAAGCGAGCTAAATAAGGTCGTCATGAATAGTAGAGACCTATCACCTCAGTTTTTAAAAAACTAAGGGGTAATTTAATAGCGCATGGGTTTGATCCACACCGTCTGCATTTTTATTATTTATAATTATAGTGCCTCAACTATCTCGGATTATCAATAAAAACGAGGGGTAAACTATTAGTAATTTTTTTAAATTTAAACTGGTTAATTATTTACACAGAAAGTTAATAAAGTAACATGTTTACAAAATACAATGTTCACCCATAATATTAAACTGATTATATTGTTTATACAAAATATCAAAATAAAAGTCAAGTTGTCCATGAAGATCATATGTTGGATCTTCAAATCTTTGATAACCATGGGAAGATCAACTGCTGGAAACAATATGTTTTCTATTGCTTTTCCTTGCATTTGTTTATGATATAAATAAAAAAAGGTTTGATAAATAAATAACTTTATGTTCAAATAAACATTTAAGAACACAAACCTTAAACCCAAATAATTTTCTGCTCTTGCAATCCATCTTAGAGAACTCTTCATGAACACGACTCTTACAAATCTTAATGTGGAAGATAATTTCAAGCGTTTCATGATGTTGAATTATGAATTTTTGATATTCAAATTTCTTTAATAATGGAAGTTATTTAGGTTTCACGCGGACTACTAATGGAAGTGTCTTGAGCGTTGATAGTGATGAAAATGGACGACAAAGATTTGATTAAGGACGGTGATAAATATCCTCAAAATTAAGGCTAAAATATCCCCTTGATTTTTAGGAAACCTGAGGTGAAAGATTTTTATTATTATTAATTTTTCATTTACATAGTTTACAAAGAATTTTAAAACATAATATTACAACAAATTCAAATTCTTGGAGATAAACAAATCTTTGCTATAAAAAGTTATTGGGAATAAATTGTTTACAATAGATCTTTCGTGAAATCCTCAGAGATCTCATAGTCTTCAGAGTCCTCATAGATTTCATGGTCTTCGGAGTCCTTAAAGACCCGTTCTTAAGCGTTTGCAGATCAAAAAAATTCATGGCAATTGGCAGTGGTAAATATTTCCTCTACCTTTCGTGGCTACATATTAGTTAGAATTAGCGTAAAACCTGTTTTACAAATGTCAAATTGCACCTCGGTTATTTTTAAAAGCCGAGGTGACATTTGTTATATATATATTTTTTTTACAATTACACTGTTTGCACGAAATATTAAAATAAATGGTTTACAACAAATATTTTCTCTTCGCTGATATTCCTCATCCAAAGTTTGAGCTCCCTTCTTTGTGTAAGTTGAAGCAGGAATATTAAAATACATTATTACAACAAATATAGTGTCATCATAGTTTTGTTGTAATACCGATTTAGTTGCATACCCTTGTGTGATGCTTTTTAAGCTCAATGGTTTGAGTGCATCAGTGTTCTAATAAGTTATTTGTTCCAAACATTGGAAAAATATTTGTTCTGCACCTGCAATCCATCATAGAAAGTTTATTCCAAAAATATAACAACAACATCAACACCATTATGTGAGATAGATTGCAAGGGCAGAAAAATGTTTTGTTCTAGATAGAAGAACATTGAAGATTTTTTCTGTCTTGTAATCCATCTCAAAGAATAATGCATGAAGTTTGAGGCCGCTTCATATAACTAAGCATTAGGGTAAAATTTAACGAATGCTTTTACAGTAAAATCTGATTATTTTATCCCCCAATTATATCGAAAATCAAAGGGTTAAATCATTTAGTTTACACTTATAAACAAATAAAAACACAAACTGCAATAGCAGGGATTTGAAACGTGTCTTGACTTGTATTTCACCTCGGTTATTTTAAAACCCGAGGAAAATATTAGATTTTTATCTTTATAAATAATAAAATATGGCGCACCTTGGCATTTTATCTCGATTTTTCTATGGCAGAGGTGAAAGTTTCATCATGAAAAACGTTATTTGTTGTAGTGGAGAGTTTATGATTTTTTGAAGTTGTTGAACGATTGTAAATAATTGATGCAATTTATCTTTTTTATGTTGTTTATAATTTATTATGATTACTCACTCCTACAGTTTGAATATTGCCTCCACGTGGGTAACGTCCAGATATTCATGAGTAGGTTCTTTGGAAGTAAGTGGAAGCTAGCTATTGAAGACTCTCTTTAGTTTGTCGTTTTATGTAGTGAAATTCGGATCTGATTCATATAACATCAAGTTGGGGTTGATGTTCGATTTCTAAACTACTATATCATTCTTTTAGAATCAAATTCAAATTATGTTGTTGAGATGTTTATGTGATGTTTTGAGTTGAATATGAATAATATTTTGCTATTATTATTATTAAAGTTGGAGTTTAAGACATACCATTAAGTGTTGTATTACCTACTATGATTACTTGATGATGATTCCGCTCCAAATGTTTTCAGATGAGTTTTGATGTTGTATAAACATCATAAATGTGCATGTTTGAAAAGTTAAATATTTTGTTGTAACCAGTGTTACGGAGGAAGATATGTATGTTGTTTTATGAAGTGTGACACCCTTGTGTTGTTGTTTTAATTAATTTATCCATAAATTATACGTGAAATTTAGAAGGGTGTTACACTTGTCCTCCCTTCCTGCTCAAATTTTTCTCCTTTGTAGTGACTCAACCTTATATTTTTAATTTTTCTGATAATAGACAGTGAAATGCACCGATGAACCGTGATTATAATAATTATATTTAGTTTTAGTTTTTTTTAGAAAAGTGAGAACTTCTGTCATCTATCTTATAGATGATATGGGTTATATCACTATATTAATAAAGAAAGTTAATTTGATGATAATCAAAAATGGAAAATTTTAAAAATTTTATTTTAAAATTTTGTAAAAATGGAAAGGGCCCTCCTTTGGACATATTTTTAGAGGTCTATATTAAATATGAAAAATGATTCTTTTTTCATATTTATATCATTACTGTCCCCATGCATTAATCTCAACCACTCATTTATTCATTAGTCATTAGCCCATTAACACATCCATCCTTATTTAAAAGATCAAACATGAATATGTAAAAAACATAAGTATAGAGCATCACAGCCCCTTTTAAAGAAAAAAAAGGTAACATAGAATGCAATTAATCTCCCAAAGAATATATATGATGCATTAATATATATATATATATATATATATATATATATATATATATATATATATATATATATATATATATATATATATATATATATATATATATATATATATATATATATATATATATATATATATATATATATATATATATATATGCTTAATACCGCATTAAATTAAGCAATTACTTCATAATAAGGGTGAATACAGTACATGGCCTTACCCAATATTGTAAACTCAAATTTTTTCTCAACTTCATTATAAAATTCTCAGTGGAAAATAACAAAAATACACCCCTTTACTCATAAATATCATATGAAAAGGGTTTAAACTTTACCCAAGAATAACCAGCCTTCCATGACTTTTGCTCAAGTAGTTATCCAAGGCCTATATATTAACAAATTCAGAGTCAAATTCAGAATTTTAAACAATTTAGGAACCTAAAACTAATAACATATCATAATCCAAATTTAAATAAATGCTCAAAAAACATATACGTACTCAAATTAATGCAAAAATATATGATCAGATATGGCTTGCAGTGTTAGGTGGTTGAAAGATTGTGTTTCTTGTACGGATGTGTAAGATATATACACATAAAAACAACAAAAAGGACATTCATATTGTAAGAAAAAATGAGAGAGATGTATAAAAAAAATAGAATGAGACAATATTTTAAGAAAAGAAGAGATTTCAGTTACTAGAAAGTCTGACACCAATTTCACAAGTTTCATAGAAGAGAATCTAAAATATCCCTTATCCATAGATTTGTAAGTTTTAATTCTATAATATGGATTTTATTTAATAAATGACTTAAATTTGAATCTTTGAAGTTAACTTAGTATATCATGTTAAACTAATTATTAATGTTTAAATTAATATTATTGTACTACTAATATTCATAATGGAAGCTATATTAAGTAAGATTATGTGAAAAAACCAATATCTATATTAACAAAATATAATAAATTATTTAATTAATTAATCATAGAAAACAAACAATTATGAAATAAAGGAAAGATGATTATATTGTCATTTTGCATTTGGAAACGACAAACAAAAAATTGATGAAAGAGCATTACCAGCTAGTTCCTCCTGTAATACACATATTCATTATTTTTATATAGAGAAAAATATAATTCCATAATTAACAAGAAAAATTATTTACTATTACTGCTAAGTTTATACTAGTTAGGGTTTTGAAGTCTTTGAATTAGGGTTTGATATATGAAATGAAATGTAGATTACTATCTAAGAAAAATGCAGATGCAACATATTATGTTCTAAATTGTTGAAGAAAATTCAAGCACTAAACAGTGAAGAATTAATACAAAATATATTTATTGATCATAGATAAATTAATTGGTTAATGAATGAAATTTATTGTATAAAAAAGAAGAAGAGAAAAAAGTTACCATATATAGTAATGATAAATTTCACTGCATAGGCAAATTTGAGGTATCACCGTTATGTTTGATTGGAATCCTCTTCTTCTTTTTCTTCTTGTAAGGAATTCCTCTAGCCTTAGCCTGAGAGTCTCTCACTTCACGAAGATAGATTCTTATGGAACCACTAGCAAATGGATTAGTCTCAGGTAATCCACCATTTTCTTCATAGGCAGCTCTTAATCTTCCAATAAGTGCATCAAGGCTTCCCCAAGCTTGTTTTAGAGGACAAGTACATGGCCCGGGAGGTTCGGTTTGTCCGAAGAACAAACATCCTTGTAAGTGCACTTTGGTTTTCCCAAATTGATCCAAATACCTTAGAAACTCAAGAACATGATTTGAATTGCATTGAGAAAGTGCTACCGGGGGCCTTTGGTTTCTTAAATATTGTCCAAAAGTATTCCAATCTCTTCGTTTTTGTGACTCGTAACGACTCAGTGGAATCTGTTGCTGTTGTTGTTGCTGCTGCTGATGCTGATGCTGATGATCGCTACCACCTGTACCATCACCTATTGTTGAAGTAGAAGATCTTGATGATGATCCATCTGCTATGTCTTTTCCTTTGTTGGACATATCTTGATCTTAAGATCAAATCATTAAGTATTTCTTTATTATGAAAGGGAAGTTTTTTTGGTTTGGTAGAGAGTGAGAAGAGGGAAGAGAAGACAATAGAATAGAAGTAGAAGAATTTATTTAAAAACCTAAAAAAAATTTAAAGAAAAGAAAAAAGAAAAAATAATTTAGGGTATCACATCAAAGGGCTAATGAGGGGACAATGTATGGGACCAATGAAAGTGCTTTAGCCTTTCTTTTTCTTCATTGCCTACATTATTTTCTCACTTTAATGGTACTATTAGTATTAATCATACTTTATTTTTTTTTATCATTGTGCTTGCATCATCAAAGCAATTATTAATGGGTAATTTAGAGTAATTAGCACTATGGTTATTGCTTTTGTGACTATTTAATAACAGTCTAGCTTGTCTAGTGTTTAGAGGATTGTTTGTCACGTATTAGCAAATTTTGTGATTAAAAGGTAAACTTAATGGTTTCCGTGACCTATTCTATAATTTTTATTCACATGGTTGATAGTATATGGTGTCACATCTCTTTCATATTGTCACCAATCACATAGCTTTTCAAATTAGATTACCTTATGCTATATCTCTTACAAAAGGAAATTAATTAACTAATCAATTAATTAACCTAGATCATCATTCAAGAATTTGTAGCAACTCAATTTATTAACTATTTCAATTATTATTATTATTATTATTATTTATTATTATTATTATTATTAAATTATTATTATTGCTTGTGTAATTGTTCAAAGTGTGTTAATCTGAAAAATCTCAAGCATATACAAAAGATCCAATTTGTAGTATTTTAATATTTTTACATTAAATTATGTTGTATAATCACAATACCTATAAATTGCATTTATTTTCTATTTGTGGTTAAGTCGTTTTTCATCTTGTTAACTTAAGTCTTTTTCAACATATCTAAATAAGATTAAATATACAAACCTCGTAACGTTAACGAGTTTAGATTTTAATTCCTGATAAAAAAATTTAATTCTCTTTTTATGTAATGTAGATTTTCTCACATAACTTCCTATTAATCAGGTGGTATGGAATTTTTACTCAAAATTTAAAATTCTCTCTACGTGATATTTCTATTTACACACATAGCATTTTTATTTACTCAATTGATAGCTTAGTTGGTATATACATTTCAAAAAACCCCTTGCAAAATCTAGGTTTCTTTTGAAGAAGTTTGAGTTGCGAAGAAGACGAAGCTCAGGCGACGACGAAAACGAAGATGAAGCATCAGGCGACAACGAAGACGAATACGAAACTTGCAATGTCTAAGGTAAGTTGATTTTTAAACTTCATCACAGTTAACGTGTAATATTAGGGTAACCTTTTGACTATTGGGTTTGATTTATTCACAGGATTTCCAACCTTAATGTTACTTTTCACCATGGAGGTGAATTTACTAGGGTTAATCCAACTGAAATTATTTACAGAGGGAGGGGTGATTCCACTGTAACTGAGCTAGAAGTTACTAATTGGACAATAAATATTATTCCGAAATTGGTGAGTAGGTAGGGGTATAAGGATGGTAGTTTTCAATTATGGACTAAAGCTTTAGAAATTCAAGAAGGATATATTATGATAAAAAGGATGATGATGCATACTATTTTGCATCATTCTTTAGCGCAGAGAATATCAATGGACATTTATATCTGGAACATTCTATGGGAAACATGGATGTTGATGATAGGGAACCTAATTATGTTAATGAGGTGAATGAAATGGATGGGTTGATAGAGGAGATGGTTGAAGGGTTAGATGACAGTGAACATGGATTGTGTTTCAGGCATTATATGAAAATTTCAAAAAAAGAATGGTGGTGGATCCCTCATAAGGGATTTGATGATGGGGGCTGCTAAAGCTACATACTATCAAGCATGGTCCCGGAAGATGAATGAATTGAAGAAAGTGGATTAAAATGGTTGGTCTTGGTTGATGGCAGTCCCTACCAAGAATTGGTGTAAGCATGTCTTCACTTTTTACCCTAAATGCAATGTTTTGATGAATAACATATCTGAGTCTTTTAATGCTACAATACTAGTTGTTAGGGACAAACCTATACTGACTACGTGTGAGTGGATAAGGAAATATCTTATGAATATGTTAGCTACATCTGCCAGTAAACTAGAAAAGTGGCAACATTGAGTGATTCTAATACCTAGGAGAAGGTTAGATAATGAAGTGTTCAATAGTGGACATTGGTTTCCAACATGGTCCATGGTTGAGCAATTCCAAGTTATCCATAGTTACAACAACCAAGAGTTTATTATTGACATAATTAATAGGTCATGTATCTGAAACTTATGGGAGTTAGTAGGAATACCTTGTAGGCATGTTGTGGCAGCTTTGAGTTATAGGAAGCAAAACCATGATGGCTTTGTTGATGAGTGTTACACCAGATAAAAATTTGCACTTTGTTATGGTTTTTCAATAAGCCCTATCAATGGTCAGGATATATGCCCAGAAGTAAAAATAGAACAAGTATTACCACCATCATACAAAAAAGATCCAGGAAGGCCTAGGAAGGTTAGGATAAGAGAACTTGGAGAGGAAGGTGCAAGAAAGAGAATACCTGGGGTTGCATATAAGTGCACCAAATGTGACAAATTTGGTCACAATGCATTGACTTGCAAGGCATTGACACATGACCCCAATTCACTAAAAAGAAAGGTATGACTGTGTTTCTTAAAATTCAATTTGTTGTACAAAATATAATTTGTGTAGAGGAAAGTTAAAAATGTAAAAAATTATGTTGAAGTTGAGAGGACAGTCCCTACTGATGGACGTAGTTCAGTTCCTACAGATGGATAAATTTCAGATCCTAATGCTAGAGAGAATTCAGTTCTTAATGATGGACAAAGTTCAATGTCTACTGATAGACAGAGTATAATGGCTATTGAGTCTACATTGCCCACTGATGGGCATATTGAGACTGACATTGTTGTACCAACTGCTATGAGTCAAACTGGATCTGTTGTGGCTAACTCAATTCTCAGGAAATTAAAGAAACAAAAAGTAAAGAAGCCAGCCACAAAAAGATGGAAAAGTGAAAGGATAAAATTGAGTCGGTTTAAGAAACCAATTACGGATCCAGGATCTAGTGAGTAACCAATTACCATACTAGAAGTTGGAGATAAGTCAGGTTCAAAAGATTCCAAGCTAGGAGTGAAAACAAGGTTTATGAAGACATGGAAGACCAAAAAAATGAGAGATTAAGTATTATGTTATCTTGTAATAGACCTAAGCATTATATGTGCCTTTTGTATCAATGTTCACTTGTTTCAAATTGTAATGTTGTAATAGACCTATGCATTATATGTGCCTTTTGTGTCCTTTTGATAATGTTGTAAATGACATATTCACCAAGTGTGCTTTTATTAATCTAACTCATTGCAACTATACTGTCAAGATTTTATGTAAAATTACTGTCAGTGAACATAACTTGAACTAAATTGCATCAATTCTAAATGAAATGGAAAACATAACTTAAACTTTCATTCAACACAAACTAGTTTGTCTTACAATTACAATTGAAATGGACAACAAAGCTTAGGCATTAATTCAACCCAAATTGGTATGTCTTAAAATTACAACCTGTGACAAACCAAGTACCAATTACAATTTAAGAACATAATAACTACTTAAAATTATACACAACTGCAAAAATCATCCATGACAAAACAATTACAATCACCATCCATAAATTCTTTGTCTTTTCCAATACAACATTTCTCTTCAATTTTTCCAGTTTGTTTGACCTCCCTTCTTCTCCCTATTTTTTACCTACTCTACTATCAATCTCCTCAACGATCTCTTTCGCAAATTCTCTCAAGTGACCATTGTTCATGTCACATTCGCAACATCTGGATGAATTCACTTTGGCCTTGCTAACCATATCGTTCCACAAATAATCCGTAACCATTCTGCAATTTTAATCAATATTAACACACAAATAACTTAAAAGGTTAATATAAAAGGAATTACAACCTTATAAACAACTCACCATGAAATTTCTACATTTCCAAAATTTTCTGCTAGGATTTTCGAGGGTGTTAGATACCCATAATTTCATGGTTTCGTTGCACCCACATCTTGGCAAACCCTTGTCCAGATTACTCGTTGATGAACACTTGCTTCCACCCATGAATACAGATGTCGACGGACGACTAGAGGCGACAAATTCTTCAAAATGAAGACCTTAGATGCTGAGAGAAATGGGGGAAAACAAACCCTAATGTTGTATGGTGTTGGATGAGAACAATTATGCCATGCTGTCATGCATATGTGGAAACAAATTTGAAAAACAAAAAAAAAATGAAAAATCCACGCATGAAATTATGGGTGACACTACAACAAATAACACATGTAATGTCAGACGCAAAATGTGTTTTATCTCGGTATCAGAAGCGAGGTAAATAAGGTCGTCATGAAAAGTAAAGACTTATCACCTCGTTGTTTAAAACACGAAGGGGTGTTTTAATAGTGCATGGGTTCGATCCACAACGTCTGCATTTTTATTATTTTCAATAATAGCGCCTCATGTGTCTCGGTTTTTTAATAAAATCGAGGGATAAATTAGTAGTATTTTTTTAATTTAAACCGGTTACACTGTTTACACGAAAAACTAATAAAATATTTTATTTACAAAATACATTGTTTATCCAGAATATTAAATTGGTTATATTGTTTACTGTTTACCGTGGTTTTTGGTAAACAACCGTTGATCCTCCAAAAAGGAAATTCCTTTTGGTTACTCGCGGGATCAATCAGATTAATCCCATAACATATGCTAACTTTTATGTTGGTTTGACGTGAAGGTTAATATCTAGGAAGAACGCACGTTCGACCAAGGATATGGGTTTTATGGTTTTGGAAAGTAAGAAAGTAACTAGAAGTGAAGGTAAATATGTAGGAAATGTAAACTTTGCAAAAGAATATCAAAGCAATGTAAAAACACTTTATTAATAAAAAATGGTG